GCGGAGCCGCCGTGCCGGAGTTGCGATTTGGGCCGAAAGAGGCCCTGGGCCTAATTTGGATTTTTTTTGGAACCCGTGCAGGTACTGTGAGCGTGTTTCAGTTCCCCGGGAAAAATTCAGGGGAAAATTAGGGACAGCCTGCAGGCGCACTGTGAATCGTATTCGGATCCCGAAAACAGGTAAGGACCCCTCACCTTATTTCCTATCACGGTATTAAAGTTCAAAATGATAAAACGGTATTTCTTGAATTAATGCATGTGTGAAATTGCTTAAGGTAGCTAATGGAGCCCGAGTCTAGTGTGATTGGTGGTTTACTGTTATTTGGCCTGTTTACAGCTTTAAATGCAAAATGAGGTTTGATGTGTTCATTTTACAGATTTGTGTGCATGTACTACGTTTTTATTAATTATGGGTTGAATGACTGAAAAACTGATACTGTATGTTGTCTGTTTGGTATGAATTACGATTTGCTTGTTTAAATGTGAATTGATGATGCTGATTGAGGAAAAGGAAAAATGAAAGATTGTGTAAACTGATAATTGTATTATGGGGGTCAGCCTGACTAGATATCCTGGGAGATGGTGGACGGACCGGGTCCGTAGGGAACCCTACCGGGATTGTGGTCTCACATGCCGGACGGGGTATGGAGATCTTATGGTTTTGGCGCCCATACCGGACGGGGTATGGGGACGGCCCGTTTCACCCTCATACCGGACGGGGTATTGAGGTTTATGGTTTTGGCGCCCATACCGGACGGGGTATGGGGACGGCCCGTTTCACCCTCATACCGGACGGGGTATTGAGGTTCATGGTTTTGGCGCCCATACCGGACGGGGTATGGGGACGGCCCTGGAAACTGATTATGAATGTTAAAGGTTAACGGGTAGCGGAACCCCTATGGACCCCCACGGATACTAGTAGGCTGGTAAATGAGAAAAAGATATGTTGTACAATGATTGAATTACAAGAGGCGTGATAAGTGTTATGTTTTACAGCTTAGATTATTCAATGATTATGATAATGTTATTGTTTTTCTCATATTGTTTTCATAAATTCCACCAAGGTAAGTGGATGGTCAAAGTTTTATTATTGATAAAAGGTTTTGTTGTTAATAAACGAGTTTATTGTAAATTATGCTCCATTGGTCTTTTTGTGATTTTTTACCCACCTTTATCTCCGTGACGGTGAGATATCGTGATGTTCTTACTGGGCTAGTGTAGCTCACTCCTTAATTAACCATTTCAGATCAGGAAGACATGGTTCCCGAGCCCGTTCCGCAGGAGGACGACGAAGGGGATGCCTAGAGACTCTGTAGTCATACGCATAGTTTTATTTTCGAGTTTCTTTCTTAGTTAGTTTAATCTTTTATATTTTAAGTACGTTTTTGGTTTTTCGTGTAAGGGATGTTAAATGAAATTTTGATCTCGCTTCCGCATTCGATATATTTAAATACTCATTTCATTTTAATATTTTCCGGGGCCGTTACAATAATAGTTTAAAATATTCAATAAGATTACGAGAATATATATTTTAAAAGAATAAACAAAAATTAAAGAAATAAACGAAAAGTAAACAACTGAATATTTTAGGACAACCTTTACTACCTTTTGAAAGAGTCCGGATAGTGAACTATTCACAACCCCCTTATTGATCGAAATTTGAATATTAATCCTTTTGATATGAATAGTTAATGAATGGGTAACGTACACTAGTCTATTAAAAATATCACACTACTCACCAATATAGAACCTGACGTTGGTAAAAATCATAAAAACAACCAATGAGCTCTTAATTTAAGTAAATTCATTTATCATAATAAAACC